TAGATGACACTGCTGTGCCGTATCTATCATTAATTTTATTTATGGGTTTTATTGTCTACCTTTACTTCACCCATCTACTTTTTTTTTTTTTTTGAGACGGAGTCTATGTAGTTCAGACTGACCTTCAACTCACTATGTAGCCCAGGCTGGCCTCAGACTTACAGTGATCCTCCTGCCTCAGCCTCCTGAGTGCTGGGATTACAGGTGTGCACCGCCATGCCTGGCTTCACTCATCCCCTTTCTTAAAATAGCTCAGAAAATGTACGAAAGAGTAGTTTTGAGTTTTGATAAGAAAGGATTCTAGCGGGGCACAGTGGTATATGCCTGTATCCAGCTACTCAAGAAGCTGAGTCAGAAGGACTTCAAATTTGAGGCCAGCCTGGGCAATTTAGTGAGACATTGTCTCAGAATAAAAGGGGCTAGGGGTATAATTCAGTGGTAGAGCGCTCCTGGGTTGGATCCACAGTACCACCAACAAGGAGAAAAAATCTAATTTGAGACCCCTTCCCCTGGTATTTACATAACCTAAATTACTGTGGTAAAAGTTTCCTGAAGAAATTATTGCCGTTTCCTATGATGTCCACTGAAAAGAAGAAAGAATAGTAGCCTATTAAGAAATAAAAGGAAAATGAGAGTGTGTGAGTAACAGTGAGGGTCTGTGAGGTGGAGTGTGACAGATACTTCATTTGCACACGTTTTCCTCTTCCTATTTGATTCAGTTCTCCAGCCCATTCATTTAGTTGCAGTTGGCTTTTGTTTTTCTTGGGTTGGAAACTTAATGCTGAGAAAATGTTGGAAAATGATTTGAGAGGAACCTTGACGATCACCTCTGGCAGCAGTGTTCGTACTTTTCACTAAAGTACGTCAGACAGTGAAGAAGAGGAGAAACTGTGGGATGTGTGCAGCAGTGGGCACGCAGAGCCCTCTCGTGGCACTCGAGCCAAAGTCGCTGCAGTGTCACCCGCCACTGAGCGTTGGTAACAGTGCACATCCGGGCCATGCGGGTGCTCTGAAGGAGTAGTTGGCCCTAGGCGGCCATGTTACCAGCCGCAACTCCTCCAAGCTTTTGCATGGCCAGTAAGTATTCAGGTTTAATGGCATCATTGGCATTTGCAGTAAAGAAGTGGGGTTCGGGGTGTACTTTGGGCACCTTTAAAAGGTTTGTCATCAGTGTTCTAGGCAAAGAATTGGTAGCCGACTTCTCTGGAATTTTACCCAAAGGGGGTTAGTGCAAACTTAAAACATTTTTATCTCAGTTTTGGCTTTAAAAAATCATGGATTAGGCCAGAGATTTAGCTCAGTGGTTTCGCTGCCTGCCTTTGCCAGTGCAAGGTTCCAAGTTAGATCCCTGGTACCAAAAAAAAAAGAGTTAAAAAAATCATGGATAATCTATATTCTTATCCATAATAGTTGTGAGTATATAAAAACACTTTCTGTCCTTCCTTATCATGTTCTTAGTGCTTGGAAACAGAGTGAATAAAGTGGTATTTTGGCTTTTTTTCTTTAGTAAAAACTTTCTGGTTCTAAGCCATTTATAATGGTACATGCCTATAATCCCAGCACTCAGGAGGCTGAGGCAGGAGGATTGCTATGAGTTCTAGGCCAGCCTGGGCTACATAGTGAGACTCTGTCTCTAAAACAAAACAAAATTCACAAGCACAAGATCCTGAGTTCTATCCCTGGTACCAAATAAATAAATAAAAGAATGAAACAAAACAAAAGCTTTCTGGTTCTGATGTGTCATAATCCCCAAAACAGTTGTAGACTACCTATGTGAAGAATGAATAAGGTAGTAGATGAAATAACTTGCAAAGCATAACGTACTATGTAAATGTGAGTTTTGGTTTGTTTTAACTTTAGTGTTCTGTACAACTTTAATCCTCTCGCAGATGAAACTGTAATGGGACCATATTAGCACATGGTCAGGAGACTTCTTGACTCAGACTTCCACTGATACGACCAAGATCAGGTATCATAAAGTTAACCAACTATGCTGTAATTGCAGGCGGGAGCACTGGCAGCTGCTAGGCAATTTGAAGACCACTGTGGAGGGCTTGGTGTCAGCCAACAGCCCCAACGTCTGGTCCAAATATGGTGGCCTGGAGCGGCTTTGCCGGGACATGCAGTGCATTCTCTACCACGGGCTCATCCATGACCAGGTATTCACGGGTCTTCTTTTCGCCTCATTGGTGCAACACTTGTTGGGAGGAAATAGTTGTGTCCAGTCGGAAGGCGGAGAGACAATGACACTCGCCAGTCTGTGAGCTCTTGGGGGCAGCGCTGAGACTTAGTACAAAACTTGTTTTTTTTGCAGCAGGGTCTTGCTGTACAGTTCAGTCTAGCCTTGAATTTGAAGCGATCCTCCTGCCTCAGCATTCCAAGTGCTGGGATTATAGGCGTGCACCACCACGCCTGGCTCATCTTTTTATTTTTAATCCAGAACATTTCACTTGGTGTCTGATATCATAGATGTCTATACAATGAATAAATGCTGGGTCTGACAGCAAATCAGCAACAAGAAGTTAGATCAGTTTGTTTCCTCACCTAACAAATGATTACAAACTTAATGGCTTTGCACAACACAAATATATGATAGTTTTTAAGGTCAGAATTCTGAATTAAGTTTCACTAGGCTGAAAGCAAACTGTCTGCAGGCCTGCACTCCTGGAGGCACTTTTTCTGTCTCTTCCTTTCCTGTCAGCTTCTAGAGCTGTCATGTGACTTTCTGTGGCTCTCAGCCTCTTCTGCCCAACACAGTAAAGATTCTTTTTCCCCCTTGAATATGTTTTGGTTTAAAAACAGCGCCCCCCCATAGGTAGAATAAAGGAAGAAAAAGAGCCAAGGCCAAAGTGTTTCAGTAAGTATCTGACTTCCAGGAATTTTTTTTTTCTTTCTGTTACTGGGAATTGAACTCAGGACCTTGTGCTTACCAGGCAGGCACGGTGCCACTGAGCTATATCTCTAGCCGTTACTCAGGAAATGTTTACACTGAATCAGAAGCTGACACTCTGTGGACTCCATTATAATGACTGTCTTTTCTTTTTGAAATCCTTTTGCCTTAAAACCAGTGTAATAGAATGATTATGAATTACTTAGGCTTGGTGAGCTTGGTGTAATAGAATTAATGTGTGTTTTTGTTCTGTGTGCAAAATCACGATTCCTTCCTCTGATTCTCTTTGAATTGGACTTTTTATCTGTTTCTTAAGTTTAAATTTACTACCATTTTTACTTTAAATTACTAATAGGATGGAAGAATGAAATACTTTCTTTGCAGGTTTACCAAGAATTCACTCTCAAAATACATATAAAAACTCTCACAGTACAGAAGTGTAAACAAATGGTGAAGGCAAGGAAACAAAATTAGCAGAGTACTTAATAGATAGCGGTAGAGTCATTGGGATTTTCCTCATACGCGCACCCTAGCACACATCTGAGAAATAGTTGCAAAATATGGCCATTTATCCTTTGAATACCCTTTGAGCATTACTGTGTAGACAGCTGGTTTGTGTTTGTGAAGGGTAGTTTTAACTGTAGCTTTTTCAGTATAAACTTTATTGCTGTAGATTTTCTTTTTCTTTATCCTCCTCAAGAATTGTAAGTAAGAATTGTAAGACTTTGAGTTATGAAAATGAGTGCAATCCAGTATTACTTACTGGTTTTTCTTTATGTTTGGTAGCTACTGCATTTGCAGTATTTTAAATAATGTAGGTACCTCAGAATTATCAAGTGAGTTGGTGGGATTTGATATCATTTTTTTTTTAAATCAAAAAAATCAAACCTTTCAAGTACACACCTAGCTTGTACTCTCAAACACTGGAACTCCTTTCCCCTGAGCCTCGTTTTTCTTTTCTTTTGTTTCTTTCTTCTTTTTTTAAAAAAAAAAATCAGAATTATTCTTGGCTCGTAGTCAGTGTTTCTCATGATGGTACACACCTGAAGTCCCAGGACTCCCAGAAGCTGAGGCAGGAGACTGCGTGTTGAAGGCCAGCCTGGACTATGTAGGGAGACCCTGTGCCAAACAAAAACAAAAACAACAAACAAAGCTGGGGATGCTAGCACATGTTCATAATCCCAGCATCCTGGAACCTGAGGCAGGAAGATTGCAGGTTCCAGCCCAGCCTGGACAATAGCAATTAGATAAGACAGTGTCTCAAAATATAAAATAAAAAATCAGGCCAGATATGGAGGGCAGTGCAAAGACCTTAGGTTCAATCTGTACTATAGCAAAAAACAAGCAAACAAAATAAAAACAACAAAACCCTCAGTGTTCCTGTTGGATGTTTTCAAAATTCAGTTAGCTTAGGTTAGCTAGCTTTTTTCCTATTCAGAGTAAGTCTTTTTTTTTTTTTTTTTGGTATAGGGTTGCCCTATGTAGTTCAGGCTGCACTTACTATGTACCCCAGGCTGAAATTGCACCCGCTATTTGGCCCAGGCTGGCCTCAAACTCTAGTGATCTGCCTCAGCCTCCTGAGTGCTGAGGTTACTGGTGTGTGCATCATGCGTAGCTTCACAGCAAGCTCTGAAGATGAGGCCCTCTTTGCTTTAAACGATGTATTGAAATGCCATGTACTGACTTCCATTTATTTTGAAGGTGATGTGAAGGATCATCAAGCCAATGTAAATATCTCATAAATATGTGGCCATTTGGGTACACATCTGCATAATACCTTACATCTTTCAGCCAGAAAAACCTGAAGAGTAAAGACCTGACGCAATTAACTGGGTATAATGAGAATCTGCTCCAAATATTTGTTTCTCTGAGGTAAAGCCACCACACACCTGTTCCCTTAAGAAAACCACCCTTAGAGCACGGGATGATTTTTTAGTTTTAATTTTGGGGCGCAGGGCACTCAGCCTCTAATTAGGTGCTGCACGGCCGAGCTGCGTCCCCTGCTTATGCCGTGAATTCCTAGGGAACAGGTTCCAACAACTCAGGCTCCCTCCCACCGGTTCTCACAAAGTGTGCTTCTCTGGCGGGCACGGCCTGGCGCTTCGGTTGAATCCGCGTCCCTTTCTCCTTGGCTTCCTTCCTTTTCTGCTCATTTTCCTGGACCTGTTTCAGGAAGCCATCTCGACTCTGTTTAATATGCTCAGTATGCGCATTCATCCTCTTGGCAAGTATCTTGCCCTTAACTTGCTTGTTTACAACAGTGCCAGCAGCACGCTGGGGAACACTGCAGACTCTTCCAGTTTTGCCGTGGTAGCATTTGTGTGGCATATATGCTCAGATGCGCATTCATCCTCTTGGCAAGTATCTTGCCCTTAACTTGCTTGTTTACAACAGTGCAGCAGCACGCTGGGGAACACTGCAGACTCTTCCAGTTTTGCCGTGGTAGCATTTGTGTGGCATTTGCTTTTGAACAGTACCCATTTCCTTGATGTCACAGTATCACCCCCTTGGTAGATTCCCATGTTGGCCAAAGGAACAACTTCGTGATTTCTAAAAGGCTTAGAGAACATATATTGGATTTCCCTCCTCTTTCCCTTTGTGCTCATCATGTTGGCAAATTACCGGAAGATGGCGGTTCCAGGCCAAAAGAAGAGAAGAAGAGCTGAATTCTTTTTTTTTTTTTTTTTGGTACTGAGGATCGAACTCAGGACCTTGCACTTGCAGGTCAGGTGAGTTAAATCCCTGGCCCCAGAAGAGCTGAATTCTTAATGATCATCCATTTAAAAACACTTTCTAGGAATTTGGAGGCAGCATTGCAGAATAGACTTTGCAAAAGTCTTTGGACTAGACTTAGTGCTCAGGTGTTATTTCATTTTGAGAAATGAAATGACAGTAATTGTTGTTATGGACTTTTGAGTCACACTGAACATTTATTTATTTCTTTGTTTAGTGGTACGGGGATTAAACGGGAGCTTTGCACTGAGCTACATCTCAGCCATTTTTTTTAAATTTGAGGTAAGGTCTCATTAGGGTGCTAAATTGCTCAGGCTGGGCTCAAACTTTCTGTCTTCCTGCCTCAGCCTCTTGGAATACTGGAATTACAGGCATGCCCCAGCACACACAGTGTCATGTCCTCTTTTCAGCTTTGTCATTAATTATGCAGTTAGATAAGTCCCATAACTCCTTTCCCTCCTTTCCCTCATTTGTGAAAGAAAGAGGTAAAACTAGTGCCCATATCATAGGGTTGTCACGAGAATCCTATATAATACACGAAAAGCATTAGAAGGCATAGTTGTTGATCTTAGCTGTTAGGGGATGTGACTTCTCCTTTGAGCATATCTTCTGTGTGATACTGTTGGCCACTATTATAGCTTGACTTGTATGACACCTTAGGTCCCGGGGGCAATGTCCTACTTCTGTGACCACTCTTTAGTTTCTTTGCCTGGAATTTCTTTCTCTTGGATTTTTTTTTTTTTTTCATGTTATAAGGGTTGAACTTTGCACAGAGCCATAGCTTCAGCCCTTTTTTGTATTTTATTTTGACACAGGGTCTCTTTAAGTTACTAAGTTGCCTAGGCTGGACTTAAATCTGCATTCCTTTTGCCTTAGTCTCCCAGAATGCTAGGATTATAAGCATGCACAACCATGCCTGGCTCTCCTCGAATTTTTGTTTTGTTCTGTTTCTTTGTTTTTTTGAGACATGGTCTTTCTTCCTCTGTAGATCACTGTGTAGCCCAGGCTGGCCTTAAAGTCCTAGCGACCCTCCTGTCTCAGCCTTCTAATTACAGGTGTGTGCCTCCATACCCAGCTTCTCATTACTAATTTTGCATTGTCATCTGTAGTCATCACCTGACCATACATTCTTCAAGACACTTTCATCACGAATACCAGAAAAAGAAAATGTGTCTTGATGAACTAGTAAAGTCAGTGAGAGTCTCAAATGAAAAAAATGCTTGTTAAATGCAAAACCCTGTTAACACATCTTGGTGTAAAATACTACAAGTGATAATGTCTGTGAAAGCAGCGGAGCATCACAATCAAAAGTAATCAGTGTAGTCACTACAGAGAGCAGTTGTGTTATAATCAGAAGCCGGGGATTTAGCTCAGTGGTTCCACTGCCTGCCTCACAAGTGGAAGGTCCTGAGTTCGATCCCCAGTACCAAAAAAACAAAAAAAGAAGCAGCAGCAGAGCAAAGCAGGCCAGTCTGTCACACGTACACACATGAGTGTAGCGAGCGAGGCTCTGGTGCGGAGCATCTGAGACAGATGATCCCTGCCAGTTTCACTGCTGCTGTGTTCTGCCTTGTAGAGATCTGAAACATGAAGTCAGTGTTGATGACTTGTTTTGCCCTTTCCTTCCTAAAGATGAAGGCTCTTTTGAACGGCCAGGCTGCTTTGTCATCAGGAAGCTATTCTGAATGTTTTGTCCTTTCTGGGGGAGGGTGCAGTGACTCACATTGGCCGGATCCATGTGTGTTTTTACAGGGGTGTGTTACTGAAAATGAGCTGTGCTTTCTTGTTTAATCACTTAAGGCCTTTGGAAATCTTTACCATTATGACCATGTCGTTAAAAAAAATTTTTTTTTTTTGAGACAGAGTGTCCCTACAGGTTTTAGGCTGGCCTCGAACTCAATGTGTAGCCCAGGCTGGTCTTGAATTTATGGTGATCCTCCTGTTTGTCTCCTGAGTTCTGGGATTATGGGTGTGGACCAACAATTTAAAGATCCTGTGATATGAATATAAAATCTACATTTTTAGAGTTTTTGTTTCTGACATCTAAAAATTGTCTTGCCTCCACCTAATTTTATATCTTTATAGTGACTACTGTTATAGAAAGGGCTTTTTGAAAATATACTACTTAGTATATATGAATATATCATTTATTTCATCAGTGTGCCTAATCGTTATTCTACACATGTAATTTTTTTTTTTTTTTTGATACTGGGGCTCGAACTCAGGATGTTATACTTGTGAGGTAGGTGGTGGAACCACTGAGCTAAATCCCCAGCTCTAAACATGAAATTATAATAAGCACAAGTATCAGAAATAGGCTTGAGAACACAAAATGACTGATTCTTAGTATGCCTCAACTTTACTGGTGGCAATAAAAGTGCCTGGTTATTCTAGAGAATAATCTATACCCAACTTGACTGCTTCTTTCCTAGTCAGGAGAGTTGGGAAGCCATCTACTCTTCACCAGTCTGTGGCGTCATTTTTGGTGTGCATATATTACATGCGTCATGGATATACCTTTAATCATTCCCCTTCTGATAAATTCTCAAGTTTTTTACATATTTTAAAATATTTTATAAAAATGCTAACATTCATACTGTTTTTTAATTTAATTGATTTATTTATTTTTGGTACCGGCATTCAAACTCAGGACCTCTTGCTTTTGCCAGGCAGGTGCTGTGCCACTGAGCTACCTCCCTGGCCCTTGTTTTTTTCAATTTTATGTAGGAAGTTTTTGTTAGTGCTGGCTCTTTTAGAACCCAGGGCCTTATAGAAAAGTGTTCTACCATTGAACTACTTCCCCAGCCCTATAAAGAGATTTAAAATGTGTGCCTTTTTCTGTCCCTGTTGAGATGATTGTAGTGTTTTTGTCTCTCATTCTGATGTGATCTGTAATGTTATTTAATTTGTGAATGTTGAACCATCTTTGCTTCCCTGGGATAAATCCCACTTGATCAGGGTGTGTAATCTTGTGGATTAGCTTGCTAATACTTTGTTGAGAATTTTTGCATCTACATCCATCAGGGATACTGATGTATAGTTTTCTTTTCTGTGTGTGTCCTTATTTGTCTTTGATGTCAGGGTAATACTGGCCTCGTAGAATGAGTTTGGAATCAGCAGCAAAGCCATCTGGTTTGGGACTTTTCTTTGTTGGACACTCTTTAGTCATTTATTGATTTGATGTTGTTGCTCATTGTTGGTCTGTTACCTTCACAGTTCAGTTTTGGTAGGTTATATATGTCCGTAAATTTATGTTCTCGGTTTTCCCGTTTGTTGGCATCTAATTGTTCATTACTGCCCCGTCATTAATTCTGGATGTATTTGTATCATCTATTGAGTTCTGGTTTATGTTGAAGTCTCTTTCTGGGATGTTTATTTTGTTCCTTTGATTGGTTTGTCTCTTCAGACTTGTGTTCTGTATTTTTAAGAATAGATTTCAGTTTTAACTTCTGTCCAGTAATCTCAGGAAGGATTCCCAAAAAAGCAACAACTAGGTTTTCACTATAGACGCATTTTATTTTCATGTTTTGGGCTTTTCCATCATGAGTAAGGCCATCATGAGTCCAAGAATTTCTCTGACTCTAAATGCAGCCCTTTCCCTTTTGTGGCATGGGTAGTTTGAGAAAAACAAGTGTGTCCTTACTGCTTCCAGTGGACACAGAAGACATTTGTTTCTGGTTTTTAATGAATAACTCTTCACCAGTTTTAAGAATTCCCCTCTAGGGGCAGAGTTAAGGGGAAAAAATGAGAATCAAGACTTGCCATGTAAAGGTACATGATCCCAACAATGAATGTAACTGTACTGTATCCCTAAAATGTACCAATAAACTCAATAAAATAAAATAAAAAAAAAAGAATTCCCTTCTAGGAAAACCTTTTAAGGAATTGGAGAGAAAGGAGTAGAAAACAGATAATTCACTGTACACCTTCTGTAGCACTTGAATGTTCAAAAGAATTATTAACAACAGGTGCCATGGCACAGGCCTGTGATCCCAACTCCTTGGGAGGCTCAGGCAGGAAGATTGCAGATTCCCAGTCTACATGGGCAACTTAAGACCCTGTCTTAGAATAAAAATTTAAAAAGGGTTAGGGGTGTAGCTCAGTGGGAGAATACTTGGCAAGGCCCTGGGTTCCATCCTCAGTACCACACAAAAAACTTGAGAGAATCTTAACAGTTAATCTTTAAAAGGGTGAATGTGTGTGTGTGTTGCTTTGCTCCCAGAGCTTATGTCGAGGAGGCGAGGAAGGTTCTGCTCTTTTTCTGCCTTTGGAGGTCAGCAGTAAGCTGGATCCCGTCCCCAGCGGCTCGGCTCACCGTGTGTGCTTTCCCACTGTCTCGCAGCTCTGCTGCCGGCAGGCAGATTACTGGCAGTTTGTGAAGGACATCCGCTGGCTCAGCCCCCACTCCGCACTCCACGTGGAGAAGGTGAGCGGGAGAAGCACTGGGTGTGTGGGTGCCGGGTGTGGGCGGAGCCATCGTTCCAGGCCCTTCTGGGGAGGAACTGTGTGTAGGGCACCGGAATAAAAAGCCAAAGATCCCCTAGAGCAGCAGGGGAGGCGGGACTGACGCGCTGGGAACTGGTGTGGAAGAGGCTTTGAGAAGCAGTGCGAGCTTTCCAGAGGCCAGGATCGGACAGAGCCACCTGCGTCCCTGACTGCTTCGGCTGCCACGGAAGCTCCCTGCCATCCTGTCCCTCATTCAAGATGAGACCTCTGGTTTCTAGCCAGAGAAACTGAGCTCAAGGAAGTTAGGTGATTTGGCTGAGGTACACGGGCTGGTTTCAGAACAATCACTGCCAGCTTTATGTTATGGAAATTTAAAAATATATATATAGAAGAGTCTGTAATGAAACTAACTCCAAAATATAAATTACTCCTGCTTTTTTCTTTTTAAAAAAATTTTTTTGAGACAGGTTCTTACTATGTAGCCCAGGCTGGCTTTGAACTTGTGATCTTCCTGCCACAGCCTCCTGAGTGCTGGCTTTACCACCACCTTCTTCAATTCTTGTCAGTATATGGCTAGTCTTGTTTCACATATACCCCCAGTGCTAAGATGACACCTGGAAAAGTAACTTTTTTCTCCAGTATTCAAGGGGGCTGAAGCAGGAGGATCACCGCCTCAAGGCCATCCTGGGCTACATAGGAAACCGTGTCTCAAAAAAAACAAAAAAAGTGGATGATTTTTTTTCTAAATGATCAGGGACCCAAACCCTAATAGTAGAACCCATTATTTTCTGTGTCATCCTCACTTATATTTTTCCCAGTAACTCTCCCCCAAACTTCTTTTTCTAAAATACATTGGGGTAGTCTTTTCCTCTTTCAACCTGCCTGAAATCACCCTCCATACATTTTGTTGCATTAGTCCTGGCCTCAGAGACTTGCTGTTCGAACGCCAAAGGAGGGAGAGGTTCCAAGTAGATGAGACTGTGGGTAGGGCCAAAAAGCAGAGCTCCAGTGGTTTGGGTGGAGAGTCGTTCATACCTTTCTCCTAGGTGCTTCCCCTCTGGTTTTTGTTGAATTCCTTCCTAGAGGCTGCTGAAATAGAGGAGTCTGAGAGAAAAGCCAAGAAGCCAAGTTCAGCTTTCCTCTAAGGGTCCCAAAACAGTTGCCTCTTTGGAGATAGAGCATAAAGAGACAGATGTGGCAGTTTGTCCTGATACTGCATGTCAGTTAACTGCTTAGCTGCTCTCTGTGAAGCTATTAGTCTGCTCTTCATTTCCCAACTTCAGGATCCCCTCTCTTTCTCCCTTCCCCTCCCCTGCTTCTGTTTTTTGTTTGTTTTTTGAAGACAAAGTCTTGCAGTGTAGCCCAGGCTGGTCTCGAACTCACAGCAGTCCTCCTGCCTCAGCCTCCCAAGTACTGGGATTTGACATGTGCACCACCATGCCCAGCAGGACAATACTTTGCCTGCTTTCCCTTCCCTGCCGGTGGGTTCGTGGGTTGCTGGGCCTCCCTCTGTGTGTTCTGACTGCGCCTCTTTGGTCCCAGTTCATCAGCTTGCATGAGGACGGCCAGAGCAATGCCGCAGGTGTGAGCCAGCGTGCTGTCGCCGAGCTGTGGCTGCAGCACAGCTTGCAGTGTCACTGCCTCTCTGCCCAGCTGCGGCCTCTGCTGGGGGACAGGCAGTACATCCGGAAATTCTACACAGGTGGGTCGCTGTCCCCAGCGCTGCGTCTACTTTCTCCCTGCCCTCTGCGGCACCACCCCTCTGTGGGCGCCTCCAGCCTCAGTCCTCCTCTCGGTGCTTGAAGAGCACACTCAGACTCGAGTCCGGGGCCCCTGCACTCAGACGCACAGACCACCCCGACGCAGATCTCGCGTCTCCTCCGACGCTCACGGAGCAGCCGGGCGCTGGGCGTTTGCGCGTGGTTTTCCAGGCAGATGCAGTGGGCGGGGAGGGGAGCGGGGTCCCACTCGGAAGTCTCCTCCCATGGCCTCTTGCTCCACTGCGCGCCCTCGGCTTCTCTATTGTCCCCGTCCCTCCCCACACGGGTGACCTGTGTGTCCGTGCTCCTTTTTACCTATCTCCCTTTCACTTGCCCTGGGCTCCTCTCCCCCGCGGCCCTGCCGGAGGCTGAAGGCGTCACCATGGCCGCTTCTCTGTCCCCAGACGGTGCCTTCCTGCTCAGCGATGCGCATGTGACGGCCATGCTACAGTGCCTGGAGGCGGTGGAGCAGAACGACCCTCGCCTACTGGCTCAGATCGACGCGTCCATGGTGAGGGCGGAGTTGGGCGCTGCGGGGGGGGGGGGGG